GGTGTTGCTGCTCCCAGCACTCCTGACCAGGAGTTTGGAGCCACCTGCCCTCCCCATGCTCTGGGGCAGGAGAAGCTGGAACTATGCACTGCCCACCCTCTTTGTGCTCCGGGGCAAAGAGGCTGGAGCCCCCCACTGCCCACCCTCCCCATGCTCAAGGCCAGGAAGGTAGGGGATGCACACTGCCTGCCCTTCCTGTGCTCTGGGCCAGAGACACTGGGGAAATGCTCTAGGGAGGTTAAAGTGTGTGCATGCACCCCCATGTACTCCCCTCCTTGTGGTTGTGGAAGGCGCACTGCATGCTGCCCCGCCTCCCCATGGCGGGGAAGGTGGAGAAGGCTCAGAGCACCTACTGGAGGATTCTGGGGGCGGAGTGTTGCTGCTCTCCACACTCCTGTCCAGACCTTAGCCCTGGGAGCCACACTGCCCACATGCTCCCCTTCCCTCTTTTCCTCTCTGCAGTGCTATGGGGAAGCTGGGAAGCACTTGGTGCGCTGCCCCGCTTCTCTGGGGAGGCTGGGGAGCGCTTACCATGCTGCCCCACTTCTCCACCCCTCCCCAGCGCTCTGGGGAGGCTGGGGAGCGCTCAGCACGCTGCTCTGCTTCTCTGCGCCTCTCCAGTGCTCTGTCCGGGAGGCAGAGGAGTGCTCAGTGCACTGCCCTGCTTCTCCACCCCTTCCCAGTGCTCTGGGGAGCACTCAGCATGCTGCCCTGCTTTTCAGGGAAGGCTGGGGAGTGCTCGGCTCACTGCAGAGTGCTTGGTGTGCTGCCCTGCCTCCTCCCCTCCCCAGGGGAGCAGAGCCTCAGCAGAGGTGGCAGAGCACCAACCGCCCATTACCATAGAACATGATATAGGAGCTGCCCTGCCATGAGGATCCCACAGACATGGAATGCCCTGCTCCCTGCCACAAGGACAGGCAACTTCCCTGTTATATGTGTAGGGCCCTACCTATTTCATGGCCCTGAAAAACATGTCACCAACCTTGAAATAAGCCGTTTTCTGAAAAATCTGATGTCTCCTTGTTCCTATGAGTGCCCCATCAAAGGGGGCTTCCTACCTGTGACTAGGAAGGGGAAGGACAGGACCTCCCCTGCAAACTGCTCTGGCGGTGGGAGGAGAGGCCCCCCCCCCCCCCCCACCAGGTGTCTCCCTCTACTGAAGGATGCAGACCAAGACTGGGCAGCAGCCTGAGGTTTCTGCAGCTGGAAAAGACTGGTGAAATTGGATTACAGTAGGGATGTTAAATTTCAATTAAATGACTAATCAAATAGTCAACGCAATTTGCATTGGCTATTTCATTAGTCGATAAGGGCACCTCTGCCTTTGTAGTGTAGCAATAGCCCCAGAGCTGTTCAAAGGCGAAAGCGCTATGGGAGCACAGGGCCAGCCCCCACTGGTGCTGTGCTCCCCACAGCGTTTCAAAGCGGCAGCACCACGTGGAGCCCAAGGTCAGCTAGGGACACCCCCGCTGACCCTGGGCTCCGTGCAGTGCTGCCACTTTGAAACATCGCGGGGATCCCAGAGTCAGGCTCCATGCGGCATTTCAAAGCGGCAGAACCACATGGAGTCCAAGTCCCAGCTGATCATTGTGTTGCCACTTTGAAATGCCATGTGCAGCATGGGGACACCTGAGATGGCCCTGGGCTTCATGCAGTATTTCAAAGTGATAGCTCCACGTGAAACCCAGTGTCCGGCCCCAGGCTCCATGAAGTGCTGCTTTGACGCACCCCTTCCTCCCTCCCCCTCACCGCCTCTTTCTGATAGAGGCAGCAAGGGGGCAGGGAGTGAGTAGTCAACTAGCCTGTCGACTATCCAATAAGCATTTGCTTAACGACTAGTTATTCAGATCTTTAGATCACAGCTTTCCTGCGCTGCTGAGAGGGCCCCATAAAAAGGGGCTTCCTACCTGTGACTGTGCAGGGGAAGGATAGAACCCGCCCCTTCCATGCAAACTGCTCCAGTGCTGAGAGCAGAGGGAGGGTATCAGACCAGATCAGATACCTCTTGATATCTCCTGCAGCTGCAGGAAGCTTTGGAATTGCTGCCTTCAGAGTACAGTTCTGAAGGCAGCACAAAAGTGAGGGTGGCAATCCAATGACCATCCTCCAACGGATTTGTGACACCCCCTTCTCCTTTTGGGGAGGTTCCCACAGTTACCATACTGTGAAATTACAGGTTTAAACAGCCCTGCTCCCTAACACAGAGACCTGCACAACCCCACTGTACGAGGAATGCCCTGCTTTCTGCCACAGAGACCTGAACAACCCCTCTGTACGGAAGGTTCCCTGCTCTATGCCACAGAGACATGAACAACCCCTCTGTATGGGGAATGCCCTGCTCCCTACCACAGAGACCTGCACGACCCCACTGTATGGGAGGTTCCCTGCTCTCTGCCACAGAGACATGAACAACCCCTCTGTACGGGGAATGCCCTGCTCCGTACCACAGAGACCTGCACGACCCCTTTGTACAGGGAATGCCCTGCTCCCTGCCACAGAGACCGGCACGACCCCTCTGTACGGGGAATGCCCTGCTCCGTACCACAGAGACCTGCACGACCCCTTTGTACAGGGAATGCCCTGCTCCCTGCCACAGAGACCGGCACGACCCCTCTGTACGGGGAATGCCCTGCTCCGTACCACAGAGACCTGCACGACCCCTTTGTACAGGGAATGCCCTGCTCCCTGCCACAGAGACCGGCACGACCCCTCTGTACGGGGAATGCCCTGCTCCGTACCACAGAGACCTGCACGACCCCTTTGTACAGGGAATGCCCTGCTCCCTGCCACAGAGACCGGCACGACCCCTCTGTACGGGGAATGCCCTGCTCCGTACCACAGAGACCTGCACGACCCCTTTGTACAGGGAATGCCCTGCTCCCTGCCACAGAGACCGGCACGACCCCTCTGTACGGGGAATGCCCTGCTCCGTACCACAGAGACCTGCACGACCCCTTTGTACAGGGAATGCCCTGCTCCCTGCCACAGAGACCGGCACGACCCCTCTGTACGGGGAATGCCCTGCTCCGTACCACAGAGACCTGCACGACCCCTTTGTACAGGGAATGCCCTGCTCCCTGCCACAGAGACCGGCACGACCCCTCTGTACGGGGAATGCCCTGCTCCGTACCACAGAGACCTGCACGACCCCTTTGTACAGGGAATGCCCTGCTCCCTGCCACAGAGACCGGCACGACCCCTCTGTACGGGGAATGCCCTGCTCCGTACCACAGAGACCTGCACGACCCCTTTGTACAGGGAATGCCCTGCTCCCTGCCACAGAGACCGGCACGACCCCTCTGTACGGGGAATGCCCTGCTCCGTACCACAGAGACCTGCACGACCCCTTTGTACAGGGAATGCCCTGCTCCCTGCCACAGAGACCGGCACGACCCCTCTGTACGGGGAATGCCCTGCTCCGTACCACAGAGACCTGCACGACCCCTTTGTACAGGGAATGCCCTGCTCCCTGCCACAGAGACCGGCACGACCCCTCTGTACGGGGAATGCCCTGCTCCGTACCACAGAGACCTGCACGACCCCTTTGTACAGGGAATGCCCTGCTCCCTGCCACAGAGACCTGCACAACCCCACTGTACGGGGGTCCCTGCTCCCTACTACAGCGCCGGGGTGAGGGATGCTCTCTGCTCCCTGCCGTACAGCCCCGTTGGGGGGGGGTCCCTGCTCTCTGCACACTGAGCCACGCGCCTGCCCGCTGTGGGGGGCGGGGCTGCCCTGCGCTGGCGGAGGCCGGAGGCGGTTTGCAGGCTACATGGGGTATCTCGGAGAAAGGGTCACGCGCCTGTCGCTGCGGGTGGGGCTGGGCACGCGCGGTCCCTGCCCGCGGGAGTGCGGGGCGGGACACGTACCTGATGTGCGGCAGGGACCCTGGAGCGCCCCGCTCCACTGCAGCCGCTGTCGGGTCAGGTGCGCGCGCTCCCCAGAGATCGGGGGCCCAGCGTGCGCACACCCTGCTTCGCTGTGGCGCGCGCACGTGCTCTGGCCTGCTCCCCTTGGTCGGCGTCGCCTAGGAAACACCCGGCTGTGGGTCCGTGGATCTCGGGGCACGCGCCCAGCGTCACGTGGGGTACGTAGGCCCAATGGAGGCGACGCTCTGCGTACGGCGCGTAGTACCACGGTCGCGGGGGAAAAGGTCCTCTGCCGCGCCGCGGGACTCGCGAGGAGAGTCCCCCCCCCCCCCCCCGGGGCGGGG